CATGATATAACATAGTGCGTCACACACTGCTTACTACATGATATAACATAGTGCGTCACACACTGCTTACTATATGATATAACATAGTGCGTCACACATTGCTTACTAATATGATATAACATAGCGCGTCACACATTGCTTACTATATGATATAACATAGTGCGTCACACACTGCTTACTATATGATATAACATAGCGCGTCACACATTGCTTACTATATGATATAACATAGTGCGTCACACATTGCTTACTATATGATATAACATAGTGCGTCACACATTGCTTACTATATAATATAACATAGCGTGTCGTACATTTCGTGCTGCATGCGTCATGTAATGCGCGTACTGCGTCACGTATTGTGTTGTTGTTTTTTCACACATTACTTAATTGTCATGTGATATATTTGCGTATATGCTGCGTCATGTATTGCGTATGCGTTCATGATTTCCAGCCTTGATTTCAATTGCAGGTGCTTTACATGGCTATTGTGCTCTATGCGCCGGCATTGGCACTGAACTCCGGTAAGAAAGAGATTCATTATATACACGCATGCTTAAACATCGTATACAGCTATAGCTAATAACACATTCGGTGCCATCGTGCAAGCGGATCTCATCCTTAAAGGAAACTGGTGCTAAACTCCTGGTAAAGCGGATGAGCTATTGTCGGTGTGCACTCACCCGCGCGGGGGCGAGGGGGTGTGGTGGGGGAGAAAAAACACACTCGGTCGTGCCACGGTCAGCCGGTATACTGCTGTGTATACGAGAGATTTCCCAGAACGCGCTGAAAATACTGCGTACGCCGAAAAAGTATACCAACCCCGGTCGTGTCTTGACAATAATTGAGTATGCGCTTCATCTTCTCTCTCTCACGCACACTCGATCAATCTTTCTCGCTCTCTCGCTCTCGCTCTCTCTCTCTCTCTCTCTCTCTCTCTCTCTCTCTCTCTCTCTCTCTCTATCTCTTTCTCTCTTACACATTCTCTCTCTCTCTCTCTCTCTCTCTCTCTCTCTTTCTTTTTCTTTTTCTCTTTTTCGCGGATACGGCGGCTATCGGATGCAGTTTAAACACCGCACGCGGGTAACACATGCTTCTCTTTATTCGCAGTGACCGGACTGGGCGTGTGGGCGTCTGTACTCTCCATAGGCCTCGTCTGCACTTTCTACACGACTATCGTAGGTGGCGCCACCGTCCGCGACAGCAGTGCAATGACTTTAGTTATATGGGGGATATATATATACACACTGCATGCATAAACATCGTATCCAGCTATAGCTAATAACACATTCGGTGCCATATCGTGCTCTCCATCTTACATCTCTATATATGGATTATACCGGGAGTACATAAATACATAATTTCACACAGGGAGAGATAAAAATAGATATGTAGATCTAGTTGCGATTCTAATGGGAGTAGTAACAATGTTATAGTAACACCAGCTAGAGTAGATAATCTCAGTTTGAGTTTACCTAGTTTTGCTCATCATTGCCGTAGCTAGCGGAAGGGGGAGGGAGGGAGAGGGACAATTGCCACCCCCACAGGAAAAAAGTATATACAATACATGGTCAATGGCGGCCAGCTTCCCAGAACACACCATGCACATGGCTTTGCCTCCAGGAAAAATGGGGTTAGCTACGCTCCTGTTAATACTAATACTAATACTAATACTAATACTAATACTAATACTAATACTAATACTAATACTAATACTAATACTAATACTAATACTAATACTAATACTA